GGGCCTCCCACATTGGAGGAACAGGAAAGGACCAGCAGCATCCTAGAGAGGAGCTGAGAGGAAGCAGGAACATCAAGAGAGGTGATAATCTGGTGCCAAGGGAACAAAGGATTTTAAACAGAAGGTGTTTGACCAGAGAGCAGAGATACAGGACAGTAGCTGGGAGTGGACGTGGCGCCCACAATGAGAACAGCATGGCTTTTTTGTGCCCTACTCTGTCTATGTTATGGAAACTTCTCAATCGCGTAATACAGGTTATGTAAGAAGTTCATGAGTATTTATTTCTCTTTTACTTTCTTTTGTGAGATGTAAACGTAAATGTAAAGCGCATAAAGGGCACAGATCTTACAGGTACAGGTCAATGAATTTTTTATAAATATATATACTCAGGTAACCATTAACATTTCCAAATACCCAGAAATTGCGCTCTGCGTCGTTCCCCTGTCAGTTCCCCTGTTCCAGGAGCAACCACTGAGCTGATGCCTGTCACTATAGATTAGTTGTGCCTGCTCTTGAACTTCATAGAAATGAAAGCTTCTAGCAGGTCTTCTGTGTCTGGCTTCTTCCGCCCTTTTTGTCTGTGAAAGTCTTTCATATTGCATGTAATAGGATTTTGCTTTACAAGAACTTTTAAAGATTTCCTACTGGTTATTTTTCATGCTGGTTATTTTACAGTATCTAAAATAAAGGCTGACTTTCATAGTGAACACATAGTGAACTTTAAAGATAATGGAGGCTCTAAAGTGCTTAAAGTTACAATGGGATGTTTTTAAGATGGGAGTGATAGAGGGGAAAATGGAGGAGACTTGGGAACCAGGTTCTGAGGGGGCGAGAGGGGGTGCAGACAGGGTGGAGAGAGAGGTTGGAATGGAATTGCAGAAGGGCCAGCTCATTGTGGTAAGAGAAAGGAGAGTCTTACTGTTTGACATTCCCTCCAAATTGTAAAAACCACTCCCCTGGTTTGTGTATGTTGGCAGCTATTCCACACAGCATAAAAGCTGAAAACAGGTCTTTTTCCTTCCAATCTGATGTTGATGCAGATAATAGGCTTCCTTCATGGACCTGAATAAAGAACTGGCCAAATACTGGTGATGATTGCTCTGCGTGTGTGGGGCAAGAGGGAGGGGAGGGTGGTGGGCAGTGAGGGCAAAGAATGTTTGGGAAGCAAGAGCAGCCCTGTGGCAGGAATGGGTGTAGTACTGTGATTTATAATAACTATATATTTATTTGGTCTTCCTTCTGTTTCTGGCACAGAACTCTTAAAAGCCTTGGAATTTTCTTTGATGAGTGACCAAAAGTCTCCTATTAGTGAGGTGACTTTTGGAAAGCACCGAGGTAACCCAAGGATGGGGGTTGGTGGCCAGGAGATTCAAGCATATGATTACAGGATTGGAATTTTAGTCCCACCATCCTCCCATCCCACCTCCTGGGAGGGGAGAGGGGCTGCAGGTTGAATGCATTGCTAAATGGCCAGCGATTTCATCAACCGTGACTAGGTAATGGAGCCTCCATAAAAAAACCAAAAGGAAGAGGTTCCAAGAGCTGCCTGGAGGTGAGTCCGTGGGGATGCTGGGATAGTGACGCGTTCGGAGAGCACAGAAGCTCCGATCCCTTTCTCCTTAGGTTGCCCTGCGCAGCTCTTCCCTCTGGCTGCTCTGAGTTACATCCTTTTATAATAAGCTGATGATCTAGTAAGCAAAATGCGCCTCTGCATTTCTGTAAGCTACTCTAGCAAATTAATGGAACCCAAGGGAGGGGGTTGTTAGAACCTCTGATCAGAAGCACAGGTGACAACCTGGACTTGTAATTGTTGGCTGAAATGGGAGGGGACAGTCTTGTGGGACAGAGCCCTTATCCTATGGAATCTGAGTATCTCTAAGTAGATAATAGCAGATTAGTTTCATATTGTCAACGTGGGAAATGTCCAGACCTGTAGAGAATTTTTATTAGTTTACTTAAGCTAAACTGACGACAGTTACCAGGAAGCAGAATCTCAACGGATTGAGAAAATGCTCCTGAGAATGGCAGTGTTGCAGTTTATACGTTACAATCAAAGAAAAAGACGAGAGGAGGGTTACAGGAAACTGGTTGGTGGGAGATGAGGGAGGTCTGAGAAAGCAGGTGGGGCGATCTCTGGGATTAGATAAAGAGTGAACTGGAGAGACGCGCTCCTTTTGCATTGGTGGCTGCAAGACAGCTAATGTTTACTGCACGTGGAGACGGTGTGAGGGAAACAAGTTACAGCAAGGGGGTCGCGGCTCTAGTGAGTGAGTGTGTCCTGAGGGGTCTGGGAAAAGGGGGTTACTTTCACATTCTGAAGCTATGTTATCGTAGATGCAAAAAGACAACAGACAGGCTCAGTTAAGGTAAAAAGTGACTTTTGTCAAGGAAAATACCAACGTGACTGCTCACTATGACTCACTTTTAGTTAGGAGGTTTTAATTTCAGGCCATCCTCTGTGGTTACTTTTGGTCTCTGAGGCCTTCCCTGTGCTTGTCAGGTTTAGTGTATGATCCCTTTTTCATCCACAATATTCAGCAAAATCTCATTATGTTATTCTTACAGGACTCCCAGCTGGTGTCTGAGAATTGCTTGATGTGGGGAAAAGCCCATAACAGGAACTGGTTGTCTCATAGCAGTCAGGAGGCGGGGGTGCTGGTGTGGGGGGCAGCATCTGAAGAGCCCGCCAGGTGAGGCCTGGGGGTTTGTGAACACGGTGGTTCACCATTCTGCAGTGCAAACGAAGGAATAGTCTGGGTGGCTCTCCTAGCCGCTGCACAGAACCCAGGAGGGGAATAGTGAGGCTAGAGGATGGCGGGGGTCTTCTAGCCTGATCTGAGTGGGGCTGCTCAGGCAAATGCCTTTGTAGAAGTTCGTTGAGACTGCATTTAAAAATTTGTGTGGTTTATGTAAAATGGATCTTAATAAAAGGAAATATGAGCTAGGCTTAGGAGCTAGACTGACAGAGGGCAGGTGAGAGCCATGGGAAGTTTTTGAGCAAGAGAAGGGCCCAGTCAGTATTAGAAAGGTCCCCAGAGGCAAGGGGTGCTCCATGGGAGGGCAGAGGCCAGGGCTTGGCCCCCTGCCTCAGCTCCTGGCTGGTTCTCCAACCCTGGTCTGCCCCCCACTCCTCTCTGGACCCTCTTTCCTACCCAGTCCTCTTATGGGAGCGTAGACAAAACAGGTAGGAAAGGGAAGTAGCCAAAAAATCCCCCTGATGCCGAGCCCCTCAGGGACAGAGCCGGCTGGGGCTGTCAGGAAGGGCTGGCTCCAGGAGAGGCTCTGGGAGAGGGAGTGCACAAACTGCCGGAAGCAGGGACATCAGTCAGGCCCTGCACCCACGGGGAGACTGAGAATGGGCGGGTAGGCGGGGCAGACCCCAGAGAATTCAGAACTGGGAGCTCAGTCAAAAAGCTCCCCCCTTGTCTCTGGGAACAAACGTGTGGTAGAAGGTGAGGGGCTTTGGGCCACCCCAGAGGTTCAGAGTGCTCATTCAAGGCCTTGCATATGGCACTGGAGACACAATAGTGAACAAAAATGAGAATATGGTGTGATGAGCTGAGCAGACCTGTTCACCGCGTGTTGGGTCTCTGCAGCCAGGCTGCCTGGGTCGGATCCCAGCTCCCCCACCTCCGTGCTGTGGCTTTGGCCAGACGTCTTAATCTGAGTTTTCTCCTCTGTAAAGCAGGACCCACAGGACCCACTTTGCCTCCTTCTATAGAGACTTTATAAGATCGGTTACACAAAGGGCTTAACATGTTCTTAGCCCCATTAATATTGTGATAGAGACAGGTTCATGGGGCTATGGGAGCATCAGAGAGCGCTTCCTAGAGGAAAACCTAAGCCAAGGCCTAAAGGAAGAGTAGGAAGCAGTTTAGGGGTTTGCCAGCTAAAGGGGGGGCGGGTGGGGGAGGAGAGACGAAGAGATGAAGGGGGGACCCACAAAAGACCTTTCAGCGGAGGATCTGGTGATACTGTAAGTAGGGCTTCCTGCAGGAGGAGGCTGTTGGAAATGTCTGCAGAGGTTCCATCTAGTCCCTGTCTCCTTGACTCCGCAGGTGGGGTGGCGGTGAGGAAGGGCGGTCTGGCAGTGGGTGGTACAGGCCCCAGTTTAGCAGGGCTGAGGGGTGAGGCTGGCTGTGGGCTTGCAGGGAAATCCAAAAATAGTTCAGCAGAGGATGACTCGCAGCTTGGGCTTCCCTGAAAATCAAAAATCGAGGGAAGTGGGAATGAATCAGCCTCTCAAAGTGGCATGAAGCCACTGTGGGAAGTGAGTCCTGGGTCCAAGCCCCAAGGCCACTCTGCCTCTGACTCACGAAGGGACAGGCAGGCTGGGTGTGAATCTGGGCCCTGCAGCCCTGGTTCTCACCGACCAGGCCTGGCCCCTTTCGAAACTTCAGTCTCTATCTGTGATTTATAAAGAGCAGAGAGCTGGGCGTACAGTAGGGCCTCTGGAAGTGCCAGCCCCCTCCATTTCTCCTGCCTGAGACCTAGCGGATGTGCAATGAGTATGTGGGATGGTTTGGGGTTCCTGCTAGTCTCCTGACAGACAAGTTGTCACTGGGTCTAGTGAGATGAGTAGAGGGAAAAAGGACAGCCATGCATTGTGTCTGAAAATCAATAGCAACAATAGATCATCTCAAATATTTGGTTCTTACTGAATGACTGAACCTCTGTGCCACTCTGTCCCAGTCTTCACCGCAGTTCCACGGGGGGTGGCCCCATTTTATAGCTGAGGTAGAATGTTCAGAGAAGTGGAGCCATTTGCCCCAAATCACAGCCAGTGGATGGCAGAGCCTGCAGACCTCAAAGGGCACTTAGGGGAGGTCTCTGTTTCATAGATGGGGAAACTGAGGCTCAGATAGGGTAGGGTAAAGGCCTTCCACTGGATGACCTGTCTCTTTGAAGTGTGGACATGTTTAGAAAGAAACAACAACTTCTCTTTAACATTTATTACGAAGTATAAGAGCAGAGACTGTGAGCCCCTTCACCCCCTCTACCTCCTTCTGACAATATTCTCTGTAAATCTAGAAAAATGGCATCTCCTGCTCTCCCACCAGGGGGCACCGCCTCCTGCCTTGCCCCGGCTTCAGACCTGGTTCCTTCAGCTCTCCTGACCAGCGGGCAACTGAGGCACCCCAGGATCCTGGACTCTGGGCCCTCAGTCCCCTCCTCCTCTGGGCTCCAGCCATCCCAGCCCCCAGGTACCTCCGCTTAGCTGGAGGTCATCTGTGGCAGCACTGTGAGGATGTTTTGGTTGAGGATACATGGGGTGGTGGTGACTGTTTCCCCATTTGGGGCCTCGGGTGGGCCACGGCCTCCCTCCTTCAGCCATTGTCCCCTCCAGCAGCCTCAGCGAGTCAGCCCACCCTAAGGTAGGGCCCCCTTGAGTCCTTGCATTAGAGGTGCTTTATTCATAGGGCTGCATCAGGAGTAGAAGGGAGAATGTTCTGGACCTGAGTCCTGGGTAAAGTAGCCTGGTTCTTCCTCCGTGGGGCCTGGGGAGACAAAGGGAGATGGATGGACAGGCAGACCAGACACCAAAGGAGGAGCAAGGAAGGGGACACAGAAGTGGAGACAGACAGAAACCAGTGGACAGAAGAGAAAGGAAAAGCGTGGGTGTACCCAGCACCAAGAGATCAGGGGCAACCAAACATTTGGAACGAGCTAGAGAATGTGCCCAGAGACAGGCGGAGAGAGAGAGACAGATTCCAAGCAAACAAAGGGAGAGAGGATATTGAGGGTCAGCAAAGGGGAGAAAAAACGGCTGCTTTCTTCACTGCCCGTCCAGTCCCGAACTTGGAGTCCTCTCCTCCCACCACAGAGCGGAAGAGAAAGGTTGGCCCTGCCTACAGGTCATGCCCTGCCCCCTTCACCATGTCAGGTGCTGACCACAGGCACCTTTCCTCCAGAATTTCCTGCCCAAGTACCAGCCTGCTCACCAGCTATGTGGCCTCCTGGCTGGGTTCTGGAAGCTGCCTCGGTCTCAGGACAGTGCTAAGCAGCTCGGTCAGGGTGTCCAGCCTCCCTGCCAGTGCATCAATCCGCTTTTCCAGGGCCTGGTGTGAGCTGCTCAGACCCAGCTGCAAGTCACACAGGATCATGTGCATCTGGGCAGAGAGGGGGTCAGAGGTGTGAGGGGGCTGGGGTACACCCTCTGTCCCATGGAGTAAAGCAGTGGAATAAATCATTACAGGCCCTCGAGGACTGTACTCAGTCATAGCAGTTACCAATTATTGACCCCCTACCACACCCCAGTTCCTTGGCCAGGTGCTTTTCCTGTGTGGTTTAAAGTCCTAAAGGCCATGGGGAGTGAGAATTCTGTTCTCATATTTACAGCCGAGGAAACAGGCCTGGAGCAGTTAACTGACGTGCCCAAGGCAGCACCTAGAATAAGGCGTAGGATGTAGTAGATACTAAATACTGGCGGAGTTGAGGAGTGCCTGGCTTCAAAATCCACACAGCCCTTTCCCTTCTGTCTCAAACTAGGGTCCACGGCTTCATGCTTGAGGGTGTATGAGCTTTCTGTGAGAATTCTTTCATTCTGTGTTTTATGGCTCAACAATCTAAGGAAATTATCACCTGTCAGTTCTGGCAGGTCGGGCCGTCAACTCCTCACTGAGCCATGCAGTATAGAGGCCTGTATCTGTGACTGTGTTTACCGTGGCATTGGTGCCGAGGGCCACTGTTTGAATTGTCGCGGAGTAATGAGAAAAAGCAAAGGCCACCGGACGAGCAAAAGATGGTGTGAATCAAGCCGAGGGGTGTGACGTCGTCGCTGCCCTGAGCGCTGGTGGAATCAGGTGGTCCCAGCAGGAGGTGGGCGAGCTGAGTCGCTTGGCCAGGCAGGTGAAGTACCCGTGGCCCTACCCCGCCCCCCGCAATAGCAGCAGAGATTGAGTTTTATTGAAAGAATGTTACCCTTCCCCATGTCATTGCTGTTAATTTGCATTTTATTGGTTTTGCCATGTGTATTTGGGCTTGGTTTGTAAATTTGCTTTGGTTTTATTATTGTATAAGAGTTGGAAGGAATTTTATATCCGTCCACATGTAGGTAAATTGACAATAAAGATAATTTAAAACTAAACAGTGGAGTTCTTTGTGCAGGTTTTTTTTTTTTTTTTTTTTTTTTTTTTAATTAATTTAAAAGGGATCTCTCTCTCGGTACCACACAGGAGCTTAGGAAACTCAGTATTGCTTCATTCATTCATTCCACCACAGACCTTTATTGCGCGCCTGTGTGTGCCAGGCCCTGGCCACTGTTCCATTCCAGGGCCAGTTTTCCCTGCCCCAGCCTCGCTCTTTCCCCAGACCCACTCCCACAGATCCTGGTACCTTGGAGATGTCCACCATGGAATTCACTTGTTCCTGGAGCTTTCGGTGTTTCAGGCGCACCTGGCGGAACCTGCGGGAAGAAACAGGTGGTCAGTTTTCCTGTAAGCCTGGTCTCCCGATGCGGTCTTAGCTCGGGAGAGGGATGAGGGGAGGAGAGACCCATGCAAACACAGTACAAAGAGGAAAAGTTGCCAGAGAGCTGGGGGTCAGCCTGCACCCATGAGTCCACCTCCCTGGGGAGATGCAGGTGTCCAGGCCCACACTCTGAAACATGCAAAATCAGCCACCACAGACACACAGTCACTGAGGTCCAGGGGAACGGCTGTTCAGTCACACATGGGTGTGCATGCTTACACATGCCACACAGGGGCAAGATGTGAACACAGGTGTACATGGGTACACGCTCCCACGTGCACACACAGCAGGGCTCACGTGTTGATGGCGGCCAGCAGCCTGCGCTGGTTCCTGCGGGCGCCTCTAGAGTCCTTCCTGCGTGTATGTTTGTAGAACATCCAGGCCCCTTGCAGCACTCGGGCAGCTGACTCCTTCATCTGGGGGTGGGGGCACAGTGTCAGTGCAGGTAGACCCCCGAGGCTCTGGGAGGAGGGGGCCGGGGCCCGGACTCCTGGGCCTGAGGGAGGAGGGTTTTGGGGCTGAGACTCCTGTGTAGGCTGGTCCTCACCTCTTTGCCATATTGGATGTCCATCATGAAGTTGTGCACATGCTTCTCTGCCTTATTAAACTCCAGCTTCCGAGCCACCACGGCCACCAGCAGGGCTGTGCAGCAGACCCCCTGTGGGCACGGCAGGCACTGTGACACACGGGCCGCAGGCTCTGTATACCTGCTCTGTGCCACCAGCTCTCTCCTGGACCCTCTCAACAGCCACAGAAGGCAGGCCTGACCACCCCTAGTTGACAGACAAGCAAACTGCTTCAAGGGGTGAAGCAAGGATCAGAAATCACCCGCCTGAGGCCAACTCCTGTGTGCGGCATTTACACCATCAGCATGTCCTCTTCCATTCAGGGTATGATTGGAGGAGGAGAGGAGGGCTGGTCTGGGCTAAAGGCAGAGCGCAAGCTCCTGCGGGCCCCCTTCCTCCCTGCTGCTCACACCCAGCTGGCCGTGAGGTCACTGAGGGCGCCCTCTCCCTCCTCCCACTGCCAAAGCCTCTGCCCAGTTCTGGCCCTGTCTTCCTCCTGGGTTATCTCCAGCTTCTGCTTACCCTGCCCTGACCCCCGGGACATCTAAGCCCAGTTATGACCCTGTCCCCCTCCCCCACCCTAATCGTCTACCCACAGCCCCAGACATCCGAGCCCGGCTTTCAGGGCCTTCCCAGATCCTGGCCTCTCCCTGCTCGGCCTTGCCTCCCTCCCAGACAGCGCGGCCCTGGCCTCAAATCGTCTCACCTGCCTGAGCACCTGGGTCCGAATACTCATTTTTCTCCCTTCCCTCTCCCGAGGCCTCCAATCCTTCCAGACCTCATCAGACCCCAACTGCTCTGCGGCACCTGGTCACTCTTCCTTGAGTTAGAAGGCGTCTTCTTCTCAAGCCTCCCCACCCACGTGTTTCAGCTCTTAACCACTCGGAAGTCGCTAGCTACAAACACTTGCTCTGGGACTGCTTGGGCTCCAAACCCAGCTTTGAGCAAGCTGTTTACAGTCCGAGCGCCTCTGTTTCTCCTCTGTAAAATGTCCTCACAGTATTCCCCTGTGGATTCTCTAATTTGACGCCTGGGGAGTGTTTAGAAGAGAGACGGGCACAGGGTGTGAGTGCTCAAAAGTTCCTCTAATTCCATTGCAACAGGGGAAATCTTGGCCAGGACAGGGCTGTGAACTCCAGTGCTAGCCACCTTATCTCTCTAGGTTTCAGTGTCTCTTTTTGTCAAATGAGGAAGGAGTGTTTCCCTAGCTGAGTCTCTGTACCTCTTTCCTTGTCACAGGTACCACTCCGTGTGTGTGACGTTCCCCTGCCACCCCATCTAACACCTGTGGGCCCAATGCTTAGGGACTCCACATACCCTTCCTGGGACAACATCAGAGCTGGGGACTGGCGGCTTGAGTCCCTGAGGGTAAGGGGAGCCGGGTCTCTTGGGGAGGTGAAGGCCAAGGCATTGGGTGCTGGGTCCTGGAGGGGCGTAAGGGTTGCATGGGGGGACTGGATGCCTGGGTCTATGAAGGGAAGGGATGGGTGTCTGGGTTCAGGAGGAGGTGTAATCTGGGGCTGGAGAACCTCTGCTTCATCCCTGAGGGCACAGGTGCTGTGGCAAGGGTGGCAGATGCCTGGGGCCAGTTACAATAACAGGCCCTCCAGCTCCACCCTATTTCCTGAGCATTTCTTATATGCTGGACACTGTTTGAGACCCTTTCATCAAGGGGTGTCCGACCTGCAGCCTGTGGGCCGCACACAGCCCAGGATAACTATGGATGCAGCCCAACACAAAATTGTAAATTTACTTGAAACCTTTTTTTTTTTTTGCTCATCAGCTTTCATTAGTGTTTGTGTATTTGTGTGTCCAAGACAACTCTTGTTCTTCCAGTGTGGCCCAGAGACACCAAAAGGTTGAATACCCCATGTTTTAATTCATTTAATCTTCCTGGGAACCCCATACGGCGTTCACTAGCATAAACACCCCATTTTATAGATGAGGAAACGGAGGTTCAGAGAGACTCTATGGCTTGCTTCCAGCTAGGAAGTGGCAGAAGCCGGATTTGAACCCAGGCGGCCTGGCCCCACAGGCGCGCTCTCCATGAGTAGACTCTATAGCCTTGAAGGAGTCCGCGAGACTGGATTCCTAGGTCCTAGTGCTGGGAAACAATGCCTGTGTCCAGGATGACGGGGAGGCAAGGGGGTGGGGCAGGGTGCCTGAGCTATGAGGGGGGTCAGGGCTGGACTCCTGCATTCTGGAAGGAAATGGGGCTGGGAAGTCAGGGGCCTTGTGTCCCTGAGGAGGTTGAGGGCTGAGGTCTCAGCTTCCAGAGAAAGCAAGGACTTTGGGGATGGATTCCTGGGTTTTAATAGGAAATGGGGCTGGGGGAGGTCTGTGTCCTAGAGAGGGACTGGGGCTGTGGGGGACCAGATACCCACGTTTCTGGAGGGGGTCCCTCATTGCCTGTGTTGGCTCCATGTTTCCTGGGGCTGGGAGTGACGAGTTTGGAATAGGGATAGTGTTCCCGAGGTGGCTGTACTCACCATGACTCCAGTGCAGAGGCAGACGATCTTGCCCCACGTGGTGCCCGGCACCACATCCCCGTAGCCAATGGTCAGGAATGTGATGGGGATCAGCCACAGAGTGTCTGAAAGGTGTCCGGTGGCGTTGACAGCCTGCCTGTGGGGAAGGGCGAGTTAGTTCTGAAACTCCACTGCTGGGGCGCCCATGGTATCTGAAACCCTCCTTCCTAAAACATAGCCACAGTCCCAGGAGGCACCCAGAAAAAAAGCCAGTAAGTTCTGGGCTTTGGAGAGCCCACCTGGCCTCCTCTCTGCTGTGAGCTGGGCCGGATGCTCAACACTCTGGCCTGTGGGACTGGAACCTGGGTGCAGCCAGTTCCCAAACCTGCTTGGTTTCAGGGAAGCTACCAGGGCTGCTGCATTCATGTGGTTGAGGAGTTGAGGGGCAGAAACCCAGCCCGCAGTCCACTGGCCAGACCCTGACAGGGGGCTGCATCTACCCAGAGGAAGGGGAGCCTTATTTTCTCATTTCCACGAAGATGCTGCCTGGCCTAGAGATGGCCCTCTATCAGGGCTAAAAAGGGGGGACTCTGCACTTTCTCTTCATTTCATAGAAGGGGGCATTTCGGCCCAGCCATGAAAGGGATCGAAAACTGGGGCTTGCCCCACTTTGGCCCACAGACCCCTCTTGTGCCAGACACAGTAGAAAAAGCTTCCACCCATGCAGGTCCCAGACACCTCAGAGCCACTAAATTATTGTCTGGAGGTGGGAACCGAATCTGCACTGTTAGCGAGACCCACCCCCCTTCATCCTGAAGAACAGTCAAGTTTGAGGACTTCTGCCCTGGGACTTAGCAACGTGACTTTCTCCCCATCCTCCCATTTTTCAGATAAGAAACAAGGTGGGAAGACCGTGCATGGACCCTGATCCCCACTGACAGCCCAGCTGGGAAAACGGAGGGCATGCAAGATGAAGACGTTTAACATGACAAAAGATGGGAATTGCCAGGGAGACTTCACAGATGGCGGAATCTGTAAAACTGACCCATTTTACAGATAAGAAAACAGGCTCAGAAAGGACAGATCTAAAGCCAGGTCTTCTCCCTCCACCTCCCCTCGAGGACCCTTGGCCAGAGGCACTAACCAGGGGCCCTGGCGCTTGAGCCGGCATCAGGCTCACCTGTTCGGACAGACTGCTGGGCCCTGCCTGTCAGAGCTTTAAACTGGGTAGGCCTGGGTGGTGCCTGAGAATTTGGGTTTGCAGCATGTTCTCAGGTGATGCTGCTGGTCCTGGGACCACACTTTGAGAACCATGGGCTAAGGTTACCCCCAATTTCTGTGTGTGTGTGTGTGTGTGTGTGTGTGTGTGTGTGTATGTGTGTGTGTGTGTGAGAGAGAGAGAGAGAGAGAGAGAGAGAGAGAGAGTCTGAGGCCCTGCAGGCCCGGGCCCAGCGTCCTGGGCACCACGTGCAGCAGGCAGCCTGGGGTCGGGTCCCAGGTCGCTGCAGGGAACTCCCTTCCACGGCAGTCCCCGAGCAGCCCAGCCGCCACCCTGGTGAGCACCTACAGTGCACCTGTGCCAGTTCCTCCAAGGCAGATGTGATGCTCGGCTCAGGCCCCAGGACCTGGGTTTCAAGGCAGAACAGATGCCTGGAAACCTGAAGCAGGAGAGGTTGGGAAGCAGGAAGGGAAGGGCTTCCTAGGGCCTGTGTGCGCCTGGGGAGGTCGGAGGCTGCAGGTGGAGGAAGGGCTGGGGCTGCCCAGACGACTGTGGACAAACAGCCTTCCCCGCTCGCTGCTTGGCGCCCGGCGCTGCTGTCAGCGGCGTCTCCGGACTCTCCTGGAACCCCCGCCCATTCCCCAGCACCCTCACCTCTCGGCCACCGACAGCACCCAGGCGGTGGTGACCCAGAGGCCAAGCGTGAGGCAGAGCAGCAGCCGGCCGGGGTGCGTGTTCATGTACAGCTTGGCCACGAACCAGTGGCGGAAGCGGACCTGGTTGAGGGCGCCGATGCTGCGGTAGGACGCGTTGAGCAGCACGCCGCTGCGCAGGAGCACGGCGCGGGGCACCAAGTAGAGGCGCAGCAGCATGGCCAGTGACAGCAGCGCCTCCCCCTGGCTCAGAAAGCCGGGCCAGGACTGCATGGCGATCGACGGGGCCCCGGAACCCTGCGTGCACGGTGGGCCCCGCAGCGGCACCGGGTGCAGCCCGCACACGGCCAGCTCCAGCACGATCTGCGCCACCTGCCGCCCCGTTAGCGCCACGCGCCAGTCCCGGAGGCCGTTGTCAGTCATGAACAGCTGCGGGGAGGGTACAGACCGGGAGGGGGGGTCACACGAAGGTCAGGGAGGCGCCGCCAGCCTGCGCCGGGAGATAAGGGGGGCGCGCCTGCCGGGTGAGGGAAGGAGGCAGATAGCGGCGCAGGGGCGTGGGGCTGAGGAGGGTGAGCACGGAGCAGGGCAGGACCCGGGGAAGACATCTCTCCCACTTCTCCCCTCCCTCCTAGTGTCAGCCCACTTCCAGAACTTTCAGCCCAGGAGCACTTAGTGAGTGCCTAGTGTGTGCCCGAGATTGTTCTACATTTTGAGGTGAGCAAGAGACAGAAACTCCTGCCTTCCTGGAGCTTACGATCCACATCCATGGAGCCATCCCCTACTCCTGTTTTCTGAGGTCAGGAGTATAGTCATTGTAGTCGTCATATCATTAGCAACGACAGCAGCCAATGTTGACGGGCACTTTGGGTGCACCAGCCACCGCTTACATGTTGTGTCTCAGTGAATGGTCACAACACAGGAGACTGAAAGAATTATTACGCTCATTTCATAGGTGTGGGAACTGAGGCCCTGGTTGCTCAGGTGGCCAGTGGCACTGCTCAAATGACTTCTGACGCCAATGCGTACTTTTCACTGAGCGCCTCTGACGTACCAGGCACTGCAAGGGACAATACTGCATATGGCCAGTAACCTCCACTTTATATGGGGGAAGAGACGAGGGACAGGATCCGGAGTGGGGAGTTGAACGTCCCAGTAAGATAGGACCGTGGTGGGAAGGGCTCCTGGGTCAGGGGGATGTTGACACATTCCTGGGGTCTCAGGTGGCTTGGGGTTGGAATTGGTGGAGGCTCAGGGACGGAGGACAGAGATCTGGGAAGCTGGGCCTGGAGTGAGGCTGCCTGGGGGCAGAGTGGGCAGAGGCCAGGGGACAGGAACTCAGCATCTGGGATGAGTGTGCAAGGGAGACCGGGGGCTGCAGGTGGAGGAGGGGGCCGGGCTGCTCCAGGAGGCTGTCGGTCTGTCTGAGGTTCATCCCATCCCAGTGGATGAGGGTGTGGACGCATCTCAGGGCAGAGGAACCTCATTACTCAGCCCAGGAGGAGGAGGAGGATGGAAAGAATGAGGCGACAGGGCGCGGTAGGGGCTGGGGGCAAAGGAAAGGGGTGGGGCGGGGTCTGCCCTACCTGAACCTCCTTGGCATGAAAGGCCAAGATGAAGCAAAGGAGCAAGAAGGTGGAGATGCTGATAATGCATTTAACCAGGAACAGGTAGACCGCCCACTATATTGGGAGAGAGAGAAAAAGGCGTGAGGTCCCAGGTCTCCATCTGTCAGTCCCCTCTACCTTCTTCCCGAGCAGCCTTTCCTTCTCCATTCCCGGTTTCCTAGCCCCCTTTCCCCACAAGCCCCAACCCAGTTCCTCCTGAAGTCTCAGTTCTAGGAAAGTCTCAGAACCATCCTCTGGTCCCCATCCTTCCCAGCTGGACAGCCCTGGCGCCGGTGCCAGTGTCCTCAGCTCTCCTCCTAGGATTCCCATCCCTTAGGGGAGAACTTGAAACTCACATTCCTTCTTAATTCCCATCTACTTCCCCACAGAAAGAGTCCCTCAGTTGTGTGTGTGGGTGCAGGCGTGTGCCTAGGAGCAGACATCGGGCCTCTGAAGAGTGCCCGCCCCTTCCCACCCAGTCAGTCCTGCCCTAGAAAGCAACTTCATATCCCACCCCCCAGGCCCCAGTTCCCATGGAGCCTGGAAACTATCACTCTGTCCCCAAGGAACGAACGGCACCCTCCCCTGCCCTCACACAGGGGGCTGAGTCCCTGAGAGGCCCCGGACCCAGCTCCGAGAAAGGCCCCCCAGCCCTTGCCCCGCATCCCCTCTCCCCCACCTGCTGCCTGCTCTCCTGGCTCTAAGCCCAGGGCAGATCTGGCCGGAAGCACGTGGCCTCCAGAAAACACGGAGGGTTTTTTTTCCCCCTCCCTTTGTGTGGCAATAACTTGGAGGAATCTAGAAATTCTGAGAAAAGGATTTAGAGGGGACTGGGACTGCTGGATTCCCTGAGGGGATGGGGGGCAGTGTTCCTAACGGGGGGGGGTGTTGTCAGGGGGAGGTGACAACCTGGGCTCCCACGTGTTTCTCCTAAGACACCTGTTTCTGCTAAGATGCTGCCAGCTCCCCTGGAGTGGGCAGGGCCTGTCCCTGTGCGGGGTGGGGGGGCGGGGAAGAGAGCCAGTTTCCTGCCCCAGGGGGCCTGCCCCCCCACCCCTTCCTGAACAATGGTGCTGTTGTCCCCAGCCCTCCCCCACTCCTCGTCCTTCTCTGACACCCCACTCCTTGTCTCTTTCTTTAGCTTGTCCCAAACTCCACCAGACACAAATCCCCCCTCCCTCCGCACAGTCCAGCCCACTTCGATGGTCATCTCAACTTCTCCAGTTCCCAGACACTCCCCCACCTCCCTCTGATATCTCTGCCTTGCTCCCCTTTACTCCTGGAGGTTGGCACCTGCCTCTCCTCCAGACCCTTCCCAATCGCAAGCAGGTGTCTGGGTCCCAGGCAAATAAGTTCATTAGATTGAGATGGAGGTAGGGAGGGTAACAGCCAAAGATGGCTGTTACCAAGGCGGTCATAGAAACAGGGCTGAGGAGGATCCCTAGAATTATGGATTTAACCCTCACCCCCAGCTTACAGATGAGGCCCAAAGAGCTACAGCGGCTTCCCCAGAATCCCACTGCTGGAGGCCGAAGCCTGGCAGGTGGTAAAGGAAGGGAAGAAATGAGAAGTGAGAACATGGAGGGAGTGGGTGGGAGTGACCCCCTTGTCCCTTCATGTCTGCCCAGGCTCCTATGTCTGCGCCTCCCCTGCTGGGCGGGGTGCTGGAGCGTGGGAGCAGCGCAGAGGCCCGGCCATGCTTCCTGTTGGCATGGGCTTCGCCTGCCGCACCCCCTCAGTGCCCGCTGCCCTCGCCTCGGCCCCCTGGCCAGAGGAAACCAGCCTGCCCTGACCTTCCATGTGGCTCCTGGTCATCTGAGAGCTGCCTGCCTCCCTCACCCCAAAATCCCAAGCCTGAGCCTCCATCCCCCAAAAATCTCCCCAACTCAATCTCCAGATCACTCCCCCCAACCAGCCCGATTCCACATCCCTTTACTCCAGACTGGTCTCCAACCCCTCCTTTCCTGTTGAGCAATTCTGTTCTGTTCTCAAGCCACTAATTCTGACCCATGTCCTCCATGTGCCCCCATCGCTGCCCCGACCAGGGCTGGAATGTGCCGGGAGCCTGCTCAGACCTGCTCTGGCCCCACCTGCTCTCTCCCTTCCCATTCACTGTCTTCCATCAAAGTCAGCTCCTTCCCCCAAAGAGGCCTTCTCCCCAGGGTCTCCTCCTCCCCTGGGGCCCAGGAGTCCAGGCTCCTATGAACCTACTTTCCATTATTTGCCAGACTAAACAGCATATAGATTCTGGGGAAGTGGGGCTTATTGATGATATAGATGGAACAGTGTGTGAATGCGCGCGCGCGAGCCCCCATTTCCACCCCCCGCCCCCACCAGTTTCTTTTGGTCTCTACCCTTTGTGCTGCGGTACTGGATAAACAGAGTTTAGATAAGGACCGAGGAGCCACTGCTGCCTCCTGGAAAAAGTTAGTCCCCACACCCTCCCTTCACCGAACCTAGGGTTACCGCTCCCCTTATCTGCTCTTGGGGGACTGGAGTATCTGATCGACCCTCTCCCCGCTGACTCCAGGGGTCCTGGACCTCCAGCCATCTAATTGCGATACTGCCAAGGACTGAGACACTGAGATCCTTCTTCCCTTCCTTTTGCAGAGAGGACCCCCAGCATTTGCCTCCCTGGATCTCAGATTCTAGCTTCCAGCTCCCTTCCTCCCTCAGACTAGGAGTCCAGGCCCCCAGCCCCTCCCCCCTTGGACCCAGGCATCCGGGCCCCCAGCCACTCCTCCCTCAGACCCAAGAACACCAGCCCCCAGCCCCTCCTCCCTCAGATCCAGAAGCCTCAGCCCCCAGCCTCTCGTGACCCAGAATAAGTGTTCCACTCACCGGACACCCTCCGAACCACAGCATCTCTGCGTGTAGTACCATGAGCCCGATGCCAATCCCCGCCAGCGTCAGTGCCCAGCAGGCCAGCCACGTTTCCTGCTCCAGCAGGCGTTTTCGCCGCTGCAGGGCCCCCAGGCCAGGCACCAGCTCCCCGCCCATGGCCCCCTGGGTCTTGGGGCTCAGCCAGCTTCCTGCCCAGGGTCCTCCACCTCGCAGCACGCAAAGGGCAGCCACTGTGGCTTGCAGGTCTTCTGCCTGCTCTGTTCAGTTGCTCTGGGGCTCTTGCTTTGAGGCACAGCGAAGCCTGTGCCCTCTGGGGGTGGTGACGGCTGGGCAGGGCAGGGAGGGGCTGAGGAGGCCCTTGGGCCGAGGGGAGGCTCTCCAACCCCCCTTCTCAGACTAAGGAGGGGCTGGGGTGTGTCTGGGGCAGAGCAAGGAAGAAGCGTGCATCCACGTGGGCAAAGACACAGTGACACACAATGTCCACACACAACGGTCTGCACTGTGTAATACACACCTACATTCAGCCCCACCCAGACACCACGTGACATCCTCACACACAGCACGGAGACAACCTAACACACTTGGGCACACAACACAACCTACACCAAGTGACTCACAACTCCCAACGAGTTCTGAAACCCACAGCCACACCCAGACACCACATATATGGCGTGACACACGCCGGTACTCAGCGAGACAGGCAGTTCCCTGTGACACACACAGCCACCCAAATATTGTCCACACACAGGCACAGACATTGTGATCAATGGGCACAACATTGTCTCACACTGACAGCCCCACCCAGACACTACACGTTGGAGGGTGCCTATACCCAGCTACACAAGTACGACATATACCAAGTGTTCCACAAACACACAGTTTGTATTGACATAGTGGTGCCCGAATGCCACACACACATATATGTGTAAACAATGCACCCACAGAGTCCCAAGCATTTCACACCTGTGGAAGGACATCTGACACGTGCAGAGCCATAACATTTAGGGATATACCCATGGCAGCCCCCAGTCACCCCGCACATGGAGAAAGGCACACGGACACACACCACGTGCATGGCAACTCGAGCACACACACTCAGAGAATGACACACAGCACACGGAGGCTCACCCTGACGTGCAGCATGCCCTGGGACACAGTGCCATCCGAGTGTGTAATCAGAGAGCAGTGGAGGTGGGCCCAGGCAGAGACCTGCATCAGACAGCGACACGCACCGACACCCAAACAGCACAGCCCAGGGGAAGCCATTCTGGTGTATTCTGGTGCATCACAGAGGACACAACCCAAAATGGTGCCCCGGGGGCGGGGGGAGAAGGTCTCAGGCTGCATGGATGCCCAAATGCAATGTGCGCGGGGGAAAACATGCACTATCGCCTCTGACTGACAAGCCACATCCAAGCACCACATACGACAGCCACACACAGCCTGGTACTCTTTATACTCCAATGTGCATGATCACACAAATACAGCATGCACAGAGGAATATACAAACACACAGTGACCCACAACACATCGACACATTTCTCAACAGCACTTTTGACACACACCACGTGTCACACGACACAGCAGATGTGACCTACTGACACCACTGATACTGAGGCCTGCAACACCATCACACACAACACCAGAGGATACCCTATGGCACAATGGAATACACAACCGCACAAACAGAACACACTCTGAGGAGGAACACCCAGGCTGTGTTACTGGCAGAGAAAGGAGAGGCCTGCAACAAGGACAAACACCTCAACATGAGACACGGGGTCACATCGCAGAACGATGCATAGCTTTACATACACAACACCCAGAGACACAGCACATGCTGACACAAGGAATAGCACAGGCGAAGCAGAGCGACACAGTGCAGCGTGTGGTCACACACAGCAGCGCAGAAATGTCGCATGGATCTACACACCACACGTTTACACACAGATCAAAAGCTTCCTCCAGACACAACACACCTCGCACAGCATCACGCACTGATCTTGTGACAGCCGTTGGTCTCAGGGACACCACTCTCGGGGGAACACGCAGACATAACCCATCTTCTCTCTCATGTCATATGTCATGCAGAAACATGGACCCACCAACCACAGGGAAATGCAACATGTACAGACATGCCTGGCAACACACCAACACAACCCATACAGACACACCCAGAGACACCAAACGGCACACACAGACACATCCAGTGACAAAAACACAACCCGTGCCAGTGCCCCGCCCCATGACACACATGGGGCTTCACTCAGTCTGAGACATGGTGGGAGAGTGATGGAGACACACCCGGGCACGCGCAGACACCACACACGTGCCTGTGTGGAGAAACCGCTGCCACCAGGCACTCTGGAGGCTGAGCCAGGTGCCCCTCCCCCCCACCCGTCACCCTTGGGGCCTGGTGCGGGTCTCTTTGCGCCTCTCTCTTCCTTGTCCTCTGGGCCTCACCTGCAACTCCTCTCTTAGTCTCTCCAGCTCGGGAAACCTCTTGGTCTATCTTTATCTCTGCCCTCTTCTGTCTGTCCCTGTCTCCATTTCTCTCCTTTTACGCCTTTGCTTCTGTCTATCTCTCCTGTCTTTGTCTCTAAGCATCTCTGCCTCTGCCCTCCCATTTGTCTGTTTCTGTGTCTCGTTCTGGCTTTGTCTCTCTGTCTCTGCCTCTCTCGGCCTCAGTGTCTGTGTCTCTCTCAGCACCTCTGTCTTCATCTCTGTGCCTCTCTCTGTTTTTCTCTTTTCTTCTCTCTCCCTGTCACTGTCTCTCGGCTGCCATGTCCCTCTCTGTGTTCATCCATGTCTGTGTCTCTGTCTTTCTGTCCCTGTCTGTGCTCTTTAATGACTCACTTCCTCTCTGTCTCTGCCACTTGCTGACTCTAGATCTCTCCCTGCCCCTCTCCGTGTCTCTCTTTTTCTCCCCGCCTCCAGGTCTCCCTTTGGGCATCTCTCTGTCTCCGACTCTCTCAGGGCCTCTCCATGCTTATCTCTGCCTCAGTTTCTCTCTTCTGTTCACTGGCACAGCTGGGGACAGCCTCCCCTTTCCCAGGTCCATCCAGCCCTGCCCAGGGGCCAAGGGCCAGAGATACAGGGACGCTGCCCGAGGGAGTCAGAGGCCGAGGACAGAGGCCCCCAGCACCAGCCCCTGCACGGCTGCACCCAGCGCAGGCACCAGCGAAGGCGGACACAGAGGGAAGACACCCAGGGAGAGGACAGCGAGAGAGAGCGAGACAGACAGATTGAGGAGGGGAGACAGGGGAGGAAGGGGCAAAGGGAGAGGGAATACATTTTTTTAAAAAATCAGAGAAGGAAAAAGAGACCCAGAAGTAAAGAGAAAGCAGAAGCCAGAATCCAGTCACGGACGTGGCTTCAGGGAGAGGTTTTTGTCTTCAAACAGACCACGACTAAAAGAGAAAAAGGGAGCAAAGGCTGGACATGGGAGATGCCAGGGTGGGCGGCAAAGGGGACACAGTGAGAAGGGCGCCTGCCTCCAGCTGACCTTCCAGGCTCTGGGGGTCAGTTTGTAGGACACATGGCTTGAGCCAGCCCCCTCCAGCCCAGGGAGGGGCTGAGCTGGCGGTGGGGGTGACTCAGGGCCCCAGAGCTTCCTGTGACTCAGCCTTGGTCTCGGCCCTGGAGAGGGGAGTGGAGGGGAAGAGGGGTCCCTGTGCAAGAGAGGAAGGAGAGAACACCAGAGGACCTTTACGCCTACGTGGGCCCCTGGAAAAGGTGACTGAGGGCCCCTTCCTGGGACTTTGAAGGGAGGGGCAGTCTGCAGGCATGGACTCTGGGGGACTCTGGGGGACTCTGGGGCCCAGACTTCTGAGTCTGAGGGAGGAGGGGAGCTGGGGGCCCAGCCATCTGATCCAGGAAGAATAACTGACTCCAAAGTCCCCAGGGACTTTTCCCTGGCCTTGTCCCAGCTGCCGCACCTTCCTCCCCACTCTGTCTCCGGGCCTGGAAGGGACCCAGGTGCCTTGGGGCCCAGCCGGAAGGGGCCAAGGACAAAGGGTTGTTTAACTGCTCAGGGAGTGAAGAAGAGGGTGTCTCAGTCGGAAAGGTCACCTGTCACGCAGGGCTAGTGCAGGGAAAGGCGGGGTTGAGCCAGGAGTAAAACACCCTGCAAGTCAGAGGCCTGTGGCAGCAAATCCTCCAGGCAGTCTTTCGATTTAGATGTCGGTAGCTACAAGGCATCAGGCTGCTGACACCTCGTGGTGGTCTTGGGAACTGCAGGCACTCTGCGGGTCTAGCCCGGTTGCCCGTCAGCGTACGCTGAACACCTGCTGAGTGCCAGGTACTGCTCTAAGTGTGGAGGGTATAGTAATAACAAAACAGAAGAAATATCCCTGCCTCCCTGGAGCTCCCAGGCTAAAAGAAGTGGTTCCGTTCATCTCTCTCTGTCTCTCCTCCCCCACCCCCCCAGGCTCTGTGTGTCTTTGCTGCTTTCTCTCTGTGTCTCTCACTGGCTTTACTTCTTAGTTTCTGCCCCCTGGTCTTTGTCTACAAGTGCATATCTTTTTCTTTCTCTCTCTCTCTCTCTCTCTCTCTCTCTCTCTCTCTCTCTCTCTCCTAGTTATTATTTCCTTTGTATCTCTGTGTTCCCCACCCATTTAAAAATGATGAACATTATTATGTTAAATTATATATCATATATATATCAATCTGGCAGTCTAGAGACCTTGGTCCAAGCCTGGCATGGCCACTGAATCTCTTTTTGTGTGGGACACACATTCTGGTTTAGAGACAGACCCTAGTGCACATGTAGCTCCACTATTCCTAGCTGGGTGTCCTGTGAGACCTGTAAAATGGGGGTGACGATACTATGTCACAGGGCTGCTTGAGGATTAGGTGATAAGGAATATCCGGAGCCCTCATCACAGGACCTGGCGTAGGTCACGCACCTGTGACACACTGTCTCCCTTCCCTGTCTGGCATGTGGCTGCTCTGTTCCCTTAGAACTCTAAGACCACTATGCTGTAAGGCCCATGCAGAGAAGAATCAGGGGACCTCAGCCCAAAGCCCAAGTCTAACCCATTGAACGCAGCGGCATGAGCGACCTCTGCAGAGACCAGCAGAAGTGCCCCGCTAACCCTCAGCATCACGAGAATAGATGCACTTTTTGTGTTAAGACACTGGATTTTGGAACAGTTTGTCACATAGTAAATATACTCTTCTGCTCACTTTCACATTAGAACTTTTCCATAATGTAATAGATATGTGAATATGTATATATATATATGAGTAAGT